GAAAGCAAAGAAGAAGAAAAAAGTCACAATATTTGGATCCTTCTTTCTCTTGAAATTAATAATATTATTTATTGTGGTTAAAGTAAGAACATCAATCAGTCCCTTAAATTATTTAAATAAAACTATTCTGCTTGATTTGGTGCTAATACTCAAAATGGTTTTAGGAAGTAATAAGAGCTATTGGGAAGATTTTAAATGCAGAGTTAGAAAATCTCTGCTGGTATTGTGCCTTCTATTAACCAGAGGTATAGAAGCCCGCTGTCCCCATTATTACTGTAACTCACCATGAGCCATAGAGCTAGCAATATCAGCTCTGTTCCCTGTGAGAGTCTGGAGGAAACAAAATTCAAATATCTTCTATATTAGTTGGTATATTTATAAATGGGATAGAGTACATTTCAGAAATCATAGACAAATAAATAGATGATAGAAAGGTAGATAAATGCATAGATAATATCTTAGTTATTATTTTGACACTTGACAGCCCCCGGCAAAGTATGCTTCAAGTCTGTAAATTCCCCAAATATGCTACCAGAATCTCACAAAGTGCAATAATAGTCATTGATTTCTGTGTTAACAATTTGTCAGTGAGGCATAGAAATAAAGGCAATAACTGCTCAGGACAGAGATCTTAAAGTACTTCTCTATAATCCACAAAAAAACACTTAGTATCTATAATACTACTATATTTGTATATATATATATATATATATATATATATATATATATATATATATTTGTTAACTATGTATGTATATATATGTATATACATGCATATATACATATATATATATATATATATATATATATATACATACATACAGTTGGCTTGATATAACCAACTGTTTGGAACCATGATAAAAGAGCAGAAATCATTGTGAACAAGATATGTAACTCATGACTTAAAAAGAAGAAAAGTAAATACATATGTTAGTGAATTCTTTAAACAACACCTATAAAACTGATGGAAACTCAAGGTGTGCCAAAGTAAAAAGTAGCCCATGGAACTATTTTCTGTCAACATGATAAAACATTATTCAATAAATGTTTTATGTACTGACTGATACTAGAACAAGAAATAGGGTCAGGAGGTGGTTCAACTGGTACATGTGCTTGCAATCAAACCTAGCACTTTGCATTTGAGCCTTAGGGCACATGTGGTGGCGGCAGAGAACTGATACTTCCATGTTGTTCTCTGACCTCGATATTTCTAGTAAGTCACAAGCAAATTCACCCACAAATATGTAAATACATATAATAAAAATTTAAATAAGAACTAGTTGAATTTATCTTATCTATGCCATAGATTACAACCAACAAGTATGTAAAAAAATGAAATAATATAAATGCACAATATGAAATGGTTTAAGAAAAAATAAATCAAATACCCCCATAGGTAGATTGATTGTTTGGCTCTCTGTATTCACAGAAATATACCAAGATCTATACTTGGGTAAATATGGCTTCTCCACATGCTTTTTCACACCCCCAATTTTTTAAGTAAAACAGCAGTCTTTCTTCCTAGACTATCCTTTTCTCATCCAATATAATAAAACTCCCACAGTACAGGTTTGGACCATCAACTGATGATATGTCAACAGAGACGATCATGTGATATCAACTCCCAACATCATCACCGTGTAACTAAGCCAATGATGAGCATAGAACATTTCCATGGTTAGCACTAGTACTTGTCCAGAGGACAGCACATCAGCAGTTAATGAAAAGGGTCTTTTCATTTTAATTATTTATTACCATTTATTCATTTTGTATCCCAGCTGTAGCCCCCTCTCTTATCTCCTCCCAATCGCACCCTCCCCACCTCTTCTCCTCCCATGCCCCTTTCCCAGTCCACTGATAGGGGAGGCCCTTCCATCTGACCCTAGCCTACCAGGTCTCATCAGAAACTGGCTACATTGTCTTCCTCTGTGGCCTGGCAAGGCTGCTCCCCCTCAAGCGGAGGTGATCAGAGAGCCAGCCACTGAGTTCATGTCAGAGACAGTCCCTGTTCCCCTTACTAGAGACCTCACCTGGAGACTGAGCTGCCACAGGCTACATCAGTGCAGGGAAATCATGAAATTTGCAGGTAAATAGTGGGAACTAGAAAAGATCATCCTACGTGAGGTATCCCAGAAGCAGAAAGTTACACGTGATATATACTCATTTATAAGTGCATATTAGACATATAATATAGGATAATCATACTAAAATCTGTACACCTAAAGAAGCTAAGCAAGAAGAAGGACCCTTGGTAAGTGAAAGGGGTCTTAACAGTTATTCTGTTTAGGCTAGGGAAGCTATTGTATCTGTATTTCCTATTACATGAAGCAACCCTGCCTTAGCCAGAGAGAAAAAAGACAACACTGAAAAAAGATGCAGAGACAAAACAAGGAGAGAGAATGAAAGAGAAAATGATGAAGAGCAGAGGAGCCCACAGCAGACCAAAGTACAGATACCACCAAATTCCAATTTGGTGAACCAATTTTGAGAGTTTACTGGGTAAGGAGTTACTTACAGGAGCAAAAATGCCTCAAAGACAAGTGCATCACTGTAGTCCACTCCTGCACAGGTGACACTTCACAGTACTTGGCCCCTGAACAGCCTGCAGGGTGCTCAACAGGTTAGGTATAGTCCTTTCCAGGTGCCTACGTTGGTCTGAGCCTCTTCCAGCCAGCTCAGCTTGTTTCTGCTTCTTCTAGCCCTAGTTTCAGAATCTTCTTTGTTGCTTGGCTTTCCTGAGAGTCTTCTTTGCAGCTTAATTCTACTACTCTAAGAAAGGCTTTCAGCTTCATTGCTTACTCTGGCAGGTTGTGACCTAGTGAATCTAGTCAGTTCTAGGAACTTTCTGAAGCTATTTTGAGTTGTATACCTTTCTGCTTGAGGAGTATCCTTTCAGAGTACACTGTTTTAATTCATGAGGAAATTATTACAAAAAGGCCAATTCTTTAGGTCCTGAATCCAGCCAAGCCTAAATATATCCTGGCTCAATCAAGTTTCAATATAATAAAGAAAATTTGACTTGTACAGACAAAATCCTTATCTTCCTATATATAGGATGAATATACTGAATATATATGAATATATATAGGATGAATATATATGAATGAATACACTACAAAACATAGAGGATTTTATGATGTTAAGATGCGAATTCTCCAAAAATGATTCCCTAAGATCTGTTTTCTCATTTTCTTCTAAAGAAGATTCTGAGTGGATTCTTATTTCTCGGGGCTCCCTCTGCTAAGCTAAAAATTGGACCCGACAGTCCTTTGAAATAAAGGGTGAGGCACCAACGGTATGGAGGGTCGCTCCCAAGGTTCCCCAAGAGTGCCAAAAGGGCCAAAAATATGAAAATTATGTGTCTTCTCCCTGGAGATAAAATAAAAAAGAAAAAGAATATTAAAGAAAAGTAACATTTATGAACAGCACATACATCTCACCTTCTTTATTAATCACTTTTTGATAAGTCGGAGAAGAGAACTGACTGGCATGGTGAACCAGAAACCTAAGCAAAGGAAGAGAGAGGGAGGTTAACTTTCTGGATAATTAAGTTCCTAGTGTCCCAAGGCATTTCCATGATTATGTCAAAATTAAAGTAAAAGTCACATGAAATCCCCTTCAGATCTATGTCATAATCCCTTTTGGGTGCCTGACAAATCTTGAGAAGCCAGGATGACAGTTACTGATTTACCTTTCTGTGCTGAAAATGGAAGTTGAAAGTTAAGTGGCAACATAAAACTAAGTACCTCTGAGACCTAACTTCAAGCCTGGACTAGACAGAAATGACAGAAAATCATTAGGAGCAGAAGGCATTGAAAGGTCAGAAATAAATTGTTATCAAGCCCTGTTTGACTATTTTACCGGTCAGATTCCTCCCCCTTTTGCTCTCCAAAATGTAGTAACATTTCCTTATTTTGGGAGATAAATAATGATGTTATCAGGGTTGTAGGAACACACAGTCATATTCTGGGAATGTTTTGTGTAAAAAAAAAAATGATGTTTTCAGTAAAATATAATTCTTAAGTAGTGATTAAAAAAATACACAGTTATCTTTTTCTGTCTGCCTGGACTACATTGCTTTGTGCAGATGCACAATGAAGTTTAACCTTAGTAGAGGATAAAGCCAGCAATGGCTTTGTATATTTAGGTTTTAATAAGAGTTTGGTAGGGTGGCTATTTAATTGCCAAAATAGAGTCCTAGAGTAAGAAAATCATTCGTCATTTCCTTTTTCCCTACCTTACCATGACGTCTCCCCTCGCTTCATCATCTTGCTCCTCCTGTGCCCTTTTTCATCTATACCTCTCATCTTTGATCCTTTCACACAAGGATGGTCTTTTGCCATCCTAGCTGCATAATAGCAGGGAAAACTCATGAAAATCTCACAGAAACAAAATTGATCTTCAACTAAATGAGCATGTTAGTGAATCAAAATTTGGGGAATCTGTATTTAAATTGTGAAAGTAGAAAATTATGGGTTAAGAGATTGAATATAGGAAAGGAAAGAGCCTTACTCATTTTAGCAATTACTATGTAATGTCCTAAAATGATTGACTAATCACTCCACAACTAATCATTCTGCAGCTGGTTTGTAAATATCTATATTTACATATTCCCTAAATATATATTTTTACATGTTCCCTAAATATATATATTTACAAAAGAATGCCTCATCTGCCACATTTTATGGGATTAACACCTTTAGAGAATAGGAGGCCCCAGACTGATCCTCTGGAATTACACAAGACAATCCCAGCCTAAAAACAGGTAGCCTGTAGCTTAGCACATTTTCACTGATAACATGATATTTAAAATAAAGTTATTTTGTATTTTGCCATCTTCAAAAAAGACAGTATGTTTGCAAAGAGGGAAGCTCGTATTAAACAGTCAAAAGTCTTTTCTAAGGCCTTTTACTTCAGGATGGCAGAAATCAACACAATGCTACTTATCTGTATCTGCTAAATCAAAAATCTATAAACTCTATTTACATACAGAGTTCTTGATCATTTGGGGTAAATAAAACATGATGATTGGGCATTCACACTATTGTGTGAGATATCTATCAAATCTTTTTATGGCATTTATGTATTACTCATCTGATATAAAATAATAGAAATAATAATACATTTTAAAAAATAAACAGTCCATTTACAAGTTAATCATAGTCATGAGTCTTAACACTTAAGGCATGATGTCTACGTAGCAAAAATAAACCAAAAAAGAGAGAGAAAAAAAAAGAGGAAATGAAGATAAGAAAACAGTGAAGAGATGTTTAAAAGTAACATTCAAACCTCACAATGGAGTGTTTACTTATAGATCACAAACATAGCATGCTTTTAAAAAGATGAGGTCTTTTTTCCCCCTTAGTAAGAGGTGTTCATTCGAGCTCACCCATAGAAAGGTGATGAAAATTGAATTTGGGGCTAAAATTTTTCTGCATGTTCTTTATTATGTAGAGGAAGGAAGGAAGGAAGGAAGGAAGGAAGGAAGGAAGGAAGGAAGG